TTTTAATTTAAAAGTAATGTCAAAAACCTCGGTTACTTTTGCACCAACCTAATGCATGAATTGATGGCTTGGACTTAGTTCTGAGATCTGTTCTGAACATGTGCCCCGTGTCCCCCATGCTCGAGTTCATTTTGAAGCCACAAATACCGAGCAGCAGAGGCAGACAATTCCCAATAATCTTTCAGAAAACTCAATTTCCAGCCATGTGTGACAAAATGACTATTTAATGAAGGCAATGTCATGCTTACATATTTTTAGTCTTTCTTGTTGGTGAGTGAATCGTTTTGAATGACAGATTGCATTTCAAGGGGGTGTAAGAATCTCAACAGAACACCATTTCTTTTCTAATTTTTTGTTCCATTGACTCTCGGAAACCCTCTCAGTGATTCAGGAAGCTGTCTGGGGCGTTCTGACAGCACATCACACGTTCAGCAGATCAATGAAACTCCTATCAGTAGAGCTGCGACTGAACACATTGTGGGTTCTGGTCCTTTTAGGGGAAAAACTCTTCCCACTGAACCAGCTCCCATATGCACCTGCTTTAGATTCTGTAACTCCCTCAACCCATTTGCTTCTTCTCCTTTAGAGGTGCTCAAGGCAGAGGTCATTCTTTTTACTTCAGTGGCTTCAGTCGGCAAAGGCTTTTGCTGGGAGCTGCCTGCACAGGTGACAGATGAGGGGACATGAGGATTGTGACAGGGCTCAGACACCTCTGCTCCCTTCCCTCCAAAGCCAGGAGAGAGCTCTGAAGGGAGAAGGGAAGGAGGCCTCTCCAAGGAAGGAATGGATTCTGCTATCAGTTCCTCCCAGGTGCCAGTCTATCACTTGTCTCTAGAGGATACTCCAGAACGAATGAAGAAGAGGTTCAATGGATGATTAAGAATATGAACTGCAAAGTTCTGAAGACAAATGATAAGAGGTCAAATAGTGTGATGGGAAAAACTCAACCCACCATAGTACTGGAGGTTGAGTGAATGGGCTTCAATTTATCCCCACTATTTGCTAACTGGGTAATTTTGGCAAGAAATCTCTCCTCTCAGAGTTTTAGTTTCCTCATCTATGAAGCAAGGGATTTGGAGCAAATAATCTCTAATGTTCCCTCTCTATTTTTAAACTTCTCAGAGTAGATGGTTGCTATGCCTACCCCTCACCCTGGGCCTAATTCCAGTCCTTTCAGAATTGGCTTATGCTAGAAAGCAGTTGTCCTTGAGCAAGAAAGAACTCTGGGGCCATCAAAAAGAGGTTGCTTGGTGAGAGATTGCGCACACCAATGGTAGGTACCCAGTGTGAGTGGAGAAGATAGGATGTTTCAGAACATTCTCCCATGTCTGTACTAATTCCATGGTAGGTGGGTGGGGCTACACAAAAGCCTGGAGCATTTTTTCCTTTTGACGTGAGCTGGAGGCAAGCTGATAGAAATACGGAAACCTAGGCCAGCTTAGAAGACCTACAAGTCAAAGTTGACTTCTCCCCTGACCCAGCTCCATCTAGCATTGCCCAACTCCCCAAACACTGCTGAACGGCTGTTTATGTGGAGATGAAGAGAAGCTCTCTGTTGACTTTGTTTCCAAACCCTGCCTTTTGGAATTGACACAAGAAGAGAGCACACTGCTCTCCAGGCCTGACCATCCGGTCAGCAGACTCCAACCCCTGCCCCTGCTTTCTGGCTTTTCCTCCTCAAACAGAAGCTATTGAATCAGATATCAACAACATAGATAAAAACGAGAGCAACATGGGCTTTGAACCCAAGGCTAACAGGCTTATCACAAACTGTTGTCAACCTCTCTCTGTCACTTCCAACCCCAGGGGTGAAAGATCAAACTTTCACTCCTCCTGAGGACTGCTCTGTACAGGGGCCCTGGTCCCTGTGGGTCGGGACACATGGGGCTGGATCTGCACCTTCAGCGAACACAGCCGGGACTGCGGAGGAAGCAAGGCCCCAGGTTCACTGTTGCTGTAGGTGGAGGGAGGTTGTCACTTGGGATGGGTGCCCGAAGCAGTATAAAGGCAGTGTTCAGGTTAAAAGCATAAACACTGCAACCAGACCACCTGGTCTATCTCTCGCAGCTTTGGGATCTTGGATGAGTTTTTTAATCCTCTTGGTATCTTAATTTCTCCGTCTGAAAAATGGGAATAATTCATCTACCTAGTAAGACTGTTAGGAGGATTAAATGTGCTCATATTTCTAAAACAATGTAGAACAATGCCTGACACTTAGGATGTGTCAAAAAAAAAATTGGTGGTTCTCAAAGTTTAGCAGGGATAAATCTGCTGGAGAACTTGTTTAAATGCAATTTGCAGGACTTGGTTCCCTGGATGCTTATGGTGAGGGCCCAGACTTGTGTGATGCTGACACAGGTAGTCAGTACCACATGGTCTCTGTTGTGCCTGGATACCCCCGACCCTCTGGGAGCAGCAGGACCCTGTGTCCCTCAGGATTGGCCCTAGTTGCCCGGTGGGTTGCTAGAATCCTTGCAGATTGTGGTCTTGTGTGTTGTGGCTCATCAGCCTGGAAAGTTCTTCTGCACCTTGTCCAGTTGATCTTTCAAGTTTCAGCTTGAGCAACGTCTCCTCCATGAACCCTTCTTTACCTGGCCATGAACCTCTGGGAAAGGACACAAGCCCTTGTCTTCAATTCCAAGACTCATTTTTTGTAAATATGAAGCAACCTGGTTTGTGGCAAGAACCACATGTATGGCAAAAACCTGACCTGAACTGACATGCTATTGATAGTCTTTATTTATTCCACTTAGTGTGACTATTCATATGTTTGCTGTAGAAAATTAATGGGTTTGCCTCAAACTCTGCTGAGGATGTTACATAATGGATGGTATATACAATGTATCACTTTCCTAAAACAAAAATAAACAAACCTGCCTTACATAATACATCTAGACCAAAGACTTTTGAATCCCACATCTGTGGCACATTTTACTCTGATTAGTTTCTTTCTCGACATTAAATGGAAATCCTAATAGCAAAGACTATGAATTTAGCACAATCCTTGGTGCAAACAATGATCAGCGATTGTTTCTTGAATGAATGAATTCTTTCTTGCAGAAGAAATTGCATTTGTCTTCCCCATTCTCTGTCACATTCCCCACCCCCACCCCATAATCTTCACGTAGGATTTGTGGAATTAATTTCACATGGTTGTTTGGTTTTGCCTCCTTAGAACCAGGCCTGAAATTTGGGTAGGCTGTTCCCAAATTGGGGTAAATAGGACTTCCCGGGAAGATGATGTTTTAAACAGCTCTTTGGGCAGGGTTTTGAAAAAGAGGAAGCATTTCTAGGGCATTAGAATGTCTTTGATAAGAGAATTTTCTGAGATTGGGAGAATAAGTTGAAGACTTCATCTCTGAGATTCTCTTTTTCTTCTTGTTATGTATGATAAAGCTTGACTCATCCAATATCAAAAGGGGGAAATGCTCCGCTAGGCCCAGCCCTCCTAGGCTGGAAGAAGGCAAGAACTCCAGGACGGGAAACTGGGAAAGGCACGTTGGCAGCTCCCAACCCAATTGAGCTATTAGAAGAAGGGGGATGGAGAGACTCAGGAAGTTATAAGAAGTTGAGTGCCTGATGTATGAGTTAATAGGCCCCAAGACCTTGGGATGTATTGTGACAAGGAGAGGGAACGGCCACATTCTAAGAGAAATGGAATGATTATTTGGATAACTTACATTCAAATCTCACATTGATCCTAATTTCCTATGACCAGATAGAGAGGTTGCAAACTCAAACACTTGCATGGGCCAGGCAGATAATGCGGGCCGGACGTGACAGCATGGAGTGCATGTGGCCAACTGGGAGGTCCACGCCCCATCTAAAAAGGGAAGCGCCTATTCACCTATTCAGCTCCAGCTGATGGATGCCAGGTGTTCTAAGTTTTGTTGTTGTTTTTACATCCATCTTCTGCCCTTTGAGGTGTCTTCTGATGTTGAAAAAGAAGCCAGAAAATTTGATTTTTAGGTGAAAATTTCCCATTTAAAAATTCATAGGAAAGACAAATAAAGATGAGTTGGGACCCATCGACCATTTTGCAACCGTCCCCTCCATACATTTCGGGTGCTCTCCCGTCATGATCTTTGGGAAATCCACCTCTGAGTGTCTGAAATGTTCCCGCCATTCTGAGCTGCGAGGATCCCAAAGTGGGGGTTGTTATTCTCATTTGCAGTTTCTCAGTCCCACACCAAGAAGCAGGGCAGGCTCACCTCCTCCAGGGCTGCCTCCTTTCCCAAACACAAGGTCGCTTAATCGTGTCCTCAGTGAAAACCTAAAGAAGATTGCTAAGCAGCCACCAGGAGTCGTTTGCCAGGCACCTCTGCATAGACAGCCAAGTGTGGCTCGGATGCCTGGAGGCCTCCAGGGAAACTGGCATCTCTGGAGAACTAAATTGTTGCGGATACCAGGAAGCTTGGAAATTGGAAGACAAATATGAGAGGCAGAGCAAAAAGGTAGCTCATTCATTTGCTACTTCACAGGAAACAAGGGGAGCCAACAGGCACTGCAACACTCAGGCCAAGGCGGCGTGACTGTCTCAGATCATTTTCTGCAGTTTCAGTGTGTTCGCGACTGTCGCATGGCCTCCTCTCTTGCTCTCTTGCCAGAGACTCCAAATGACTTTTGTTTCTGTTTTTAGAAACAAGGTTGTGCTCTGTCCCTCAGCTGAAGTGCAGTGGTGTGATCATGGCCCACTGCAGCCTCCAACTCCTGGGCTTGAGCAATCCTCCTGCCTCAGCCTCTGGAATAGCTGGGACTACAAGCAAGTACCACCATGCCTGGCTAATTTTTTAGTTTTTAACATCTTTTTGTAGAGATGGGGGGTCTCACTATGTTGCCTAGGCTGGTCTTGAACTCTTGGGCTCAGGTAATACTCCCACCTTGGCCTCCTAAAGTACTGGGATTACAGGTGTGAGCCTCTGTGCCCAGCCCCACATGACTGCCTTACAGTCAACCCGGCCGCGGTTGTGAGGTGGGCAATCCTCGGCAGCCTGGCCAGTGTCTGACTGTTTATTCAGGAACACACACAGGCAGGAAACAGCAAAGATCCTCAAACACAAATCCACAGACAACCCCGAACTTCCCTATAGCCAGCAACACCCCCACCTATTCCCCAGCACCACCTAGTTTACCGTAATCCAATTTTATTGAGCATCCAAGGTACAGAGAGCATTGATTTAGCCCCACACTTTCAGGTGCTTCGGGTGATGTATAGGATGGAGATAGTCATGCAAATAACCACAATAAGAGACAGAAAGGAAAAAAGTACTGTAAACTCAGAGTAGGGTTGAAACTTCATTTGGTAGGGTGAATCAGGCAGGGCTTCATGGAGGAGGTGATATTTGAGATGGGTCCTGAAGGTTGGCTAGATTTGGAGTAGAGAGAGTGGTGGGAGCAAAGGCAAGAAGGTAGCAATGCAAGGGCTGCATGGGGATGGAACAGTTCCCTTGATGAGACTATAGGAGCATAGAGAAAAGGTGAGTTAGGAGCCTGACCTTGAATGAGCTTACTCATAAGGAGTGTAGATTTTAGTTTCATTTTCATTGGTCAATACAGGCAAGCCTTTGAAGGATTTCTGCAGGAGAATGTAGATATTGGAGTTGGGCTGCACCAGTGCAAACTGGACTGGGAAATGGGAAGGGAGCAAGTGGAAGGTACAGTCAGGACATTATTGTCGTAACTTGGGCAGCAGTTACAGAGGCAAGCAAGGTGGAGAGGGGGTGGAAATGAAGCGGAGAATCCAGATGCCTGAGCTGTCATGGGTGTCCCTGTCTCCAGTTCCTCCTCCCCTTCTTCCTCTAGTGAGGCATTTGCCCCCAAATTCCAGCAAAATCTCTCCTATTAAGGCCACCAATGACATCCACATTGATAATTCCAGTGATGGCTTCTCAGTCCTCATCTTGCTGACCTACCAGCAGGCCATACCACACTTGATCTGCCCTTCTTCATAAATATACTCTCTGCTCCCAGCCCAATCTCTCCCGGGTCACCACTGTCTCCTGGTTTTCCTCTCACTTCTCTGACCACTCCTCCTTTCCTGGATCCATCTCATGCTCTCATCCTTGGACCCCTCCTTTTCAGTGTCACAGCTTTAAACACCATGTACATGCTGATGATGCTTTAGCTCCGGCCTGGACCTCCTTGACGTCCACGTTCCTCCTACTTTCTACTTGATCCTTCACTTGGCTAACAGATGGCTCACCTTGGTATAGTCCCAAAGAGGCTCTATCTTGTTTCCTGTTCCTCCTTAAGACCTCTGGAGTTGCTGTTTCTCTGCCCGAAGCCTCATGGCTCGCTCACTCACCTCCTGGCATTCTTCATCCTAACTCACTCCATCCAAAATTGCACCCTCCCATACTACCTAGATCCTTTGTCTGCTTTATTTTTTCCCCTGGCTTCATCAACATTTAACACACCATATATTGTACTTATTTATATGTTTCTCATTTAGTTGCCTCCACTAGAATATATATCTCATGATGGAAGTGGTCTTTCTTTTGTTTTGTTTTCATTGCTGTATTACTAACCCCTACAAGTGCTTGGTACATGGCAGGCACTCAATGCATATTTGTTGAACGAATGAGTGAATGCATGAATAGAAAACTGAACTTTGTCACTCTTTCAACCTGGGGAGCAAAACCATGTGAAAGGTCACTGAGGAAGTTCCAATGTGGATGCCTGGAAGATACAAGAGAACAACTCCCAGAGATTTGGAAACACAGAGGAGGAGAGGTTTAAAAGGAGTGTGAGTTCAGATTGGGACATTTACAGTTAGGGTGACTTGAGGAATGTCCTATGATGAGTCCATTGGGCTTTTGGAGACAAAGGTCTGGAGAGAAGCTGGGGCTAGAGATAGACTTGGGAATTGTCCACATGGAGGTACTAACTTAAGCCATGAGAGGAGGAGGAGGAGGAAGAGGAGAAAGAGACAGACACACAGAGAGAGAGAGAGAGAGAGGAAGAGAGAGCTCACCGAGAACAAATTATTGGGGAACACCTACCTTTAGGGGAGGAGAAAAAAAAAGTAGGAGTATTTCAAGAGTGAGAGAGTAACCAGAAGATTTAAATGTCATGGAAACCAAAGATGCAGCATCAAGACAGAAGAAATCATCGATAACACTGAAGGCAGCACACTGCAGGGGAGAAAGAAGACTGGGAATTGGTGGTTAGATGTGACCACCCAGAGATCTGCCATCCTACTGCCCACATGTCCTGATGAGCAGGTAGATGCCCTTGAGCACCAGTCAGCAGTGCAATGGGGAGTCATGGAAAATTTTCCAGCAGCAGATTGACAAGATCAGAGCTTTGCTGGAAGCAGGTTCACACGAGTGTAAGATGGCTGGGAAGGGGAAAAATCAATGGACACCCTTTAGTGGGATATTGCAGAAGTCCAGACTGAGGGAGGTCTAGAAGCTAATTAAGGGCTGGTGGCTTCAATGTTCAACATGTAGAGCAGGACAATGACAGGCCCAAGGTCACAGGGCTCCCAGGGCTTCCTGGACCTCAGGTGGGGATGGCCATTGCTGTTTGCATGTCACCAGCAGTAAGTGTTTCCCAACTCGGTCTCTCTCAGCCTCTGTAGCTAATATTTGCCTCCTATTGATTCAGTATCTAGCCTGTTACTTTTTAACTGGAGCCTGGGGTTCAAAGGCCTGATTGTTGTTTAAACACTCATTGCATTGGGGAGGGCATGTCCCCCTGACAACCTCAACAGATGAACAAGCAAGGATCTTCTAAGTAAATATAGAATGCAGAGGAGGCAAGAGGGGGCCAGGATGGGGGTTGAGGTCATGGTGAGAGGGACTGTGAGGGAGCATGATGACCCCAGTGGCAGAGTCGTAGAATTGCTAAGAGAGCTACATAACGAGCATTCAAAAGACAAATCCCAAACTCAAACTTTCTGCTATAAACAATATTAAATACAGTCATGTGTTGCTTAACAACTGGGACACATTCTGAGAAATGCGTCGTTAGGCGATTTCATCATTGTGCAAACATCAGAGTGTACTCACACAAACCTGGATGGCACAGCCTGCTACACACCTAGGCTATATGGCCCAGCCTATTGCTCCAAGACTACAAACCTGTACAGCATGTGACTGTTCTGTTCAGGCAATTGTAGCACAATGGTAAGGGTTTGTGCATCTAAACGTAGCTAAACATAGAAAGGGTGATGTGTTGCGAAGGCTATGGCGTCACTAGGCAATATGACTAGGCAATAGGAATTTTTCAGCTCCATTATCATCTCACGGGACCACCATCGTATCTGGGGTCCATTGCTGACCTAAATGTCTTTATGCGGTGCATGACTGTATGTTACAACTTAATATCTAAAATCCTTTAATAACAGAAACTCTAAACAATTCAGCATCTCAGAGCTTCATCAAAGAGTTCCTGGGAGTAGAAAATCCAGTCCTCAGTCTCTGGTCCCTTTAGTCCTTCAACTCTGTCGGACAAAGGGAAGTTTATGTTGTCCCTGGACGCTCCCTGGAAACTATGAGATGCTTGTTTTGTGGTGCGGGGGAGGCTGGAGGGAGGCTGGGGGTTCTGCCCTGTGGCAGCCAGAAAGGCGGTGCTGAAACTAGGACTGTCCCGGAGATCAGGCTGTCTTTTCACACCGTGCTGGGGTCCCATATTTCACTGGCGTCAGTGGATTTTGTAAACTTAAGTAGGCCCCCTACCCTCAAAAACCTCCCCAATTTTCTGGGACATAAATGCCATGAATTTGACCTTGATTCCTTTTGATATAAACCAAGCATCACCTTTGGTATTTGTTAAAATAAAAATTCTTCTGGAAGGGTCACGTGTTTAGCCTATCAGTCATTCACATCTTAGTACAAATGAGTTTATTGTTCACCAGGATGTGTGGGCAGTAGGATGGCAGATCTCCAGATGGTCACATCTAACGACCAATTTCCAATCTTCTCTCTCCCCTTTAGCGTGCTGCCTTCAGTGTAATCGATGATTTCTTCTGTCTCGACACTCTGGTTTCTCCGACAGGAGGTTTTGATGCAGGGGCAGGGAATGGGCAGTAGGGTTGGTGGCTAAATGATGCCTTTGAACCAGACAACCTGGGTTCAGAGAACCACTCTGCGAGTCTCCTAACCTCCTAGTCTGTTTCCTTGTATGTAAATTGGTGCTAATAACATCTACCTCTTTAGGCTGGTGTGGAAATACTGTAAGAGAGTAAACTGAAGGCCACTGTCCCTAGGGGAAGTTGTCTCTGTAAAAGGATGCTGAAGGCTGAAGATAAACTCTCTACGGCAGCTTGGCTTACTGTTACCAACTCCTTCCCTTTTCTTTTGGGTGCCACTAGGTATTTCCCAGCCCCGTGGGAGGCGCTGGCAGGTGGCTTGGAGGCCGCTCACTCAGGTGCAGGTAAGCAGCTCAGAGAGGCAGAAAGGGCTGAGGGCCCTACTGGAGTGCCACAAAGGGGGGCTGTGGCGAGGGAAGGGTGACGCCATGGCTGAGGGCCTCGGGGCTGATCGACCAGCTGGGGCTTGGGTGAGCATCACAGAGGCCATCAAGGTGTCCTTGGAGGATGGCCCTGGAGTACTTGCAACCCCATTCAGGGGACAGAGGACGACACCCTAGGCCCAAGGAGAGAGCCCGGCCCAGCCTGTCCCATGAGGATCCACCAGGGACCTCTGGAGGAAAGAGCCTCAACAAGGAGTTTGATCTAGAAATTGAATACTTATTCCCCAAAGACTATTTTAAACCAAAAGAGGCAAATTACACTGAAAGAGCTAACAATTGAAGCCCCTGGCACTGCATGGAAACAGGGCCCCAGTGCAAGAGAAGATTGGTGCCGAGCAGCGAAGGCCCCCTGTTTGTGCCCATCTAACAGGTGTGGGCAGTCCTGGGCCCGCACCTGTGGAGTGCAGGCTTATCTCGGCCTTCAGGGCCAGCTCCCCCAGCTCCACATGCCGGGGTTCACTGTTCAAAGATTGAGGACTGAAGAGTGTAGCATGCTCCGGGGTGCGAGGGCCCTAATTCCCACCTACTGCTTCTTTGCTCCAGCTTTTTGGGTCTTGCTCCAGCTCAGTGATCAAGGGCTTCTCCTCAATTTTGCCTTGATCAAGGCAAGATCAAGGGCTTCTCCTCAATTTTGAGGAAGACAAGGCATAACCCAGAGGGCATGGTGGGCTCCGGTCCCTGTCCTGAAAGACAAAATTTCTTGCGAATGTTTGCCAAGATACACTCCCATGCTGGGATGATGTGTCACAGGAGGTTGATTACGCTGTTTATTATTTTTTTTTTGAGACAGAGTCTCTTGCTCCGTCACCTAGGCTGGAGTGCAGTGATGCAATCTCGGCTCACTGCAACCTCAGCCTCCTGGGTTTAAGCGATTCTCCTGCCTCAGCCTCCCGAGTAGCTGAGACGACAGGCGCATGCCACCAGACCAGGCTAATTTTTATAATTTGAGTAGAGATGGGGTTTCAACATGTTGGCCAGGCTGGTCTCGAACTCCTGACCTCTCAGTTGATCCGCCCACCTTGGCCTCCCAAAGTGCTGCCATTACAGGTGTGAGCCACCCTGCCTGGCCTACTTACACTCTTTAAATTGTCTTGCTGTCAACTCCTCTTGGGACTCCTTGGCTCCTTCCCCACCTATAGTGGCAGCCTGCTACTGCTTGGTCGCTTGGCACAGGGCCCATCCTGCTCAGGATAGGTAGGACTGTCTCCATCCTTGCACTTTTTTAAAGGAGAGACCAGCTTAATGTGCTTGCAGATTTCCTGGGAAAACCTGGGTTTTTTTTTTGCCTGAACTGGGAAGCAGAAGGATGGAACCCTGCCGGCTGTGTCTCTGCTGGGGTTACCTCCAGGCCAGGGTGGTCTGTCCATTCCCCGCTGCCCCCAACTGCCCAAGCTGGGCCGTTCGTGCGGCTTCCTGGCCTCCCTTCCTGAGCTCAGTGTTGAGTAGCCTCTCTGCTGCAGACAAGCCACTGGGTGGAGGTGGTGGGGTGAATGAGGTCCCACCCACTTCCACGGCCCACGGGGGCAGTAGGAAGCTGACCACTGTCGCCCATCAGCTCTCGGGTTTCTAGCTGGGAGAAGCGCCCACAGGGGCGGCTGTTCTGGGTCTGTAGAGAGGAGGCAGGGCTGCCCCAGCAGAGTCCAGGGCCACACATGAGAACAAAACCTGGCCCTCCAGGCCCACAGTACTGGTCATATCTGGACTGATCAAGGGCAAGAACCCCGGGACTCACATGGAAAAGGAGAGCGTTAGACAAAGCAAGGCCGGCCCTGCAGGGCCACATATTCCGCGATCACGTGATTCGAGCCGCTGACAACTGGGCACTCCGCAGCGCAGAACCTTCCGCCTTTAGCCTTGGTACTCAGTCTGGACAAGGCCAAACAGGATTGAGAACTCGACTCCCTGATTCCAGCAACAGTATTTAAAACTCCCTAGGAAGGGTATTGCTTAGACACCACCCGAATCTGCCTTTAATCACAGGAATGTGGCTCTCACCCATCCCTCTCGGCCTTATTCCGTTTCAGCCTGCTCTATTTGGAGGTGCGCTTGCTCTAGTACCGCACACCCCTTCCAAACTCATTTGTCTGCAAGTAAGCCCTTTCCTCGGAGAGGAAAAAAGGCTTACTCCAAGAACTGACGTGGGGAGTGGGCAAAAATGTGTGGAGGAAACACGGTCTTCCCTCACGGTTCCAAAGGGGAACTGTGCAGCAAGGCTGCAGAGCTGCGAGGGAGGGGCCTGGAGCCCTGGGAAAAGGCACATCTGAAAAGGTAGTTTCTGGGGACACCTGGCCAAGAAAAGGATGAAGTTATCGCAACCAGTTCAAACACCAAGGCCGTAAGACCAGCAGAGGACCTGGAAGAGCCACAACCCCTTGTGGGAGTCTGTGCTTTGAGTGGGCCTGGGAGAAGGTGACACAGGGACAGTCTCTGACCTTCACCTGGAAGCACCGAGGGCTCAGGACGCCTTGTCCCCAGGAGGCCCCTGGGAAGTGAGGGCGACTATGCCTGGAGGTGACAGGAGGGCTCCATGCTGTCAACACTCCAGGTACCCGAGACTTGCAGCCCAGCTGGGAACTTTGCAGAGGAAAGCGGAGGAGGCATACGAGCAGCACGGGGCACGGTGAAGGGGGCTGGGCAGGAAGGAACACAGCAACAGGCTAATTGGGGAGACTGACCTTTTTCCCAGTCTGGCCTAAGTTCAGCCCTAAAAGGTTCCCAACAGGGACTCTCCCTTCTTGCTCTCTTGAGCTCCCACTGGGTGACAGCTGGGCACTGTGGCCTACTTACCGAGGACTGTGTCTTGGGTCGTCAGTAAACTCATGCTCAAAGTTTTTCCAGCCCATTCAAGTTCTATAACTGATTCCTTAGGGATTCTACAGCCTGAGCTCTCTGGAAGCTGTTTTGAGAAGTGTTCTCTCCCAGAAAGTGGTTTCTGCGTTCTTACCTCAGGAACCCCTTTGAACACAGCTCTGAGGGCCAACCCCGGGAAAGCTAGCGTCAGAATTCAGGACACCCGTGCTCACCGCAAACACTTTTACCAGGAGCTTCACCATCTCACAAGTGCCTAATGAGTCTTGGATTTCAGAGCAGGTTAAAAGCTTATTAATCTAGTGACTGTGTCATTGATATAATTCGTTCCACCATGTGTGGTTTTAAGAAAGAACATACAAATATTCACAGTGGCTCTGTCCAATTGTGCCTCCCATGTGTACTCGTAACTCTGGAGGAGGCAGGAATTCCAGGCACTGCCAACAGCTTCCTGGCAAGATGCCATCTACTGTTAATGGAAAAAGACAAACTGCAAGAAACTAAATGATGTCCTGCTTCCCCGCTATCTCCTCCTCTGCCCCAACGGGATGGGTTAAGCACATCAAGAGGAAGCTCAGTACTAAAGAAAAAGGGAAAATTCTCCAGGAGTCTGACATGATCTGAGCGGAATGAAATGGCATGAGGAAAAATGCCACCGGGTTTGCACAGGGCAGTGACACACGGTCAGGATTTTTTTTTTTTTTTTTTTTGAGACGGAGTCTCGCTCTGTCGCCCAGGCTGGAGTGCAGTGGCGCGATCTCGGCTCACTGCAAGCTCCGCCTCCCAGGTTCACGCCATTCTCCTGCCTCAGCCTCCCGAGTAGCTGGGACTACAGGCGCCCGCCACCACGCCCGGCTAATTTTTTGTATTTTTAGTAGAGACGGGGTTTCACCGTATTAGCCAGGATGGTCTTGATCTCCTGACGGTCGGGATTTTGACAGCACCTTTCTGAGAAGCAACTTGGAGATTCATTATTGAATCTCATTAACTCTCACACAAGTTGAGGGCCAGGCATACAAGGATGCCTTTTGAGGAACAGACTAACATGGATTATACAAATGTTACATAAAATCAGTAATTCTCAAGTTTAATAAAAGAACAAAACAGTAGAAGGATAAGAATAAATGTGCATCCTTTTAGTAGGCTTAAGCTATGTGTTTTGGGCAGACTTTAACTTTTTTTTTTTTTTGAAACAGAGTCTCGCTCTGTCGCCCAGGCTGGAGTGCAATGGCATGATCTCGGCTCACTGCAACCTCTGCCTCCCGGGTTCAAGTGATTCTCCTGCCTCAGCCTCCTGAGTAGCTGGGATTACAGGTATGCGCTACCACATCTGGCTAATATAGAGATATTTTTTGTATTTTTAGTAGAGATGGGGTTTCACCATGTTGGTCAGGCTGGTCTCGAATGCCTGACCTCAGTGATCCGCCCACCTCAGCCTCCCAAAGGGCTGGGATTATAGGCGTGAGCCACCATGCCCTGCCAGACTTTAATGTTTTTAAAAGGGTGGAGCTTTTAGGGAGATGAAGGAAATGAACGCACTATAAATCTGCAGGCATTTAAACCCCTCTGAAACAATTAAGTTGGTGCATTCACAAAGAAGTTTTAAATCAAACAACCCATAATACTTGATGTAGAAAATGTTCCAGCTTCCATAATTCTTTATTAAATATTTGACAAGTTGCATCGCTTCTTTACAATGACTTCATTTTGTCACATTAGTCTTTTGCTGTCAGGAAAACAATCTACAGTGTCTCTTTAGATCTCTCAAGAAAAAAGAAAAGCGAAAAGGATTTGTTCTTCAAGAAAACTTTTCCTGTGTGTATCAAATTCAACCATAGTTTAAAGCTATTCTGATTGTGAAAATGAGCATTATTCATAAGTTGTCTTAAAAAAAATTCAAGGTAGTTTGGTTTTTACCACTGTATCAAATAGTACTTGGCTTCCTATTAGGTGGTGGGTTTATAATAAAAAGTTATGAAACATTGAGAATTTATTTGGAATGCTTGAAACTTTTCACCTTAAAAGTCACTGCTTTTTTCATGTTTCATTTGATGATAGATCCTGAATTAAGAAATAACAGCAAATTCACATCATCTTCCCACGGTTTTCTCAGGCTCCAAGGGTCGAAATTCGGAGGACACAGCTTGGAGAAAACTGTAGAAGGGACTAAGCTCTCACCCCCTTTTGAAACCAGATTACTCAATAAAGGTGTAAAAATGCTATACAAATATATACAAATATATTTGGACAGCATATGTACGTATATATGTATATATATTACATACATAGTAGTAAAGGAAGAACAAAGTCACGCAAAGTTAACATGAAGGAAACCGTGACAATCTAGGTGAAATTAGTCTGAGTGGAAGGGGAAAACTGGCTTACATAGGAACACAGATACCTGCAGACACGGAGTTATACAGAGGTACGGTCACGAGGAAGGCTTCTGATGCACTGGTACGGGGTTGAGAATGCAGTGCACGCAAGGTTAGGTGCCAACAGCAATGCTACTCCTTACACACAGAAAGCCAACGAACAGAAAGACATGCCTTTGAAACGTGTTGCTTTGAATGGAACATCTTTAACAAACGACGGATGTTTAATGGGAGGTTTGCTTGGAAAATTTCATGCCAACAGGAAGCTACCCCATTTCTAGAAAACATTCTCCAAGCTCCTGTCTGAATGCTACAGCATTTTCTCTGACATACTGAGAACACTCTGGGGTGGGGGTGTGCGTATGCAAATGTATAGACACTGTTCATTAAGGCTTATATAAATTAAAAAAGTGGTCCAAAGAATATCACATTTTTTCCCCCAGTTTTAAAATCTAAAGTACAAAGTGGAGTTTATAAGGATTTGTTTTTTAAAAACACATCTGAGTCCTGAAATTGGCAGTTCTGACATGACTTATCAGGATGTACCCCAATGCCTGAATGACAGAGGTAGCGCGTGATCTTCGGGCTCGGGGAAGGTCAGGAAGGGAGCAGGCCAGGCAGTTACCCTGCACAGCGGCACCCCCTACTGGCAAGGCAGAAAATGATACCAGACAGCACCTCCCACCTCTCCCTGTAAGTACAGGGGTGCAGGGGCAGGGTAAGGAGGAGAGAGAAGAGGAGAATTAGCACAGTGGGTAGGGGCTGCAGAACTGATTAACCCAGGCTCTCTTTATACGTTTTTAAATTTCGGAGGTGAGTACAAGACTCTTAGAAATACAGGAGTCGACTGTTAATGGGTAACTGTTAGAACAATTAAAAAGTTGCTATGTATGAACCTGGCTTTCAAGAGGGCCACTGTGGCTCTGGCAAGTTAGCAGCGGTGCACACTGTCTATGCAACAATGGGAGATGTAGAAAATGGTTCAAATGTTTTGCACGCTGTTTCTCAGAATCTGTCACTGTGAGGCCGGGTGCGGTGGCTCATGCCTGTAATCCCAGCACTTTGGAAGGCTGAGGTAGGAGGATCACCTGAGGTCAGGAGTTCAAGACCAGCCTGGCCAGCATGGTGAAACCATCTCTACTAAAAATACAAAAATTAGCCAGGCCTGGTGGCGGGTGCCTGTAATCCCAGCTATTCGGCGAGGCTGAGGCAGAAGAACCGCTTGAAGCTGGGAGGCAGAAGTTATAGCGAGCTGAGATTGAGCCACTGAACTCCAGCCTGAGCTACAGAGCGAGACTCTGTCTCAAAAATATTAATAAGAATCTGTCCCTTTGCCCTTACATGGGAGAAATAATACACGCCAAGTCGCTCTGTATCCCTCGTTGTCTGAATTTAGGGAATAGCTGATGTCACCTGCTGAAGGGTCCTGGAAACAAAAGTCAAGTGTCTTACCTTTGTTCTTGTGATTTGTCAGAGGACTGGCTACAGAGAAGCATAAACATTTCAGGCAAAAAGGAAAAGAGCACTGAAGCTGGGAGTACACTGTAACACAGAAAATGAAGGCCTCATTGCTGCCGGCTCTGGGACCAGCGGCGGAGAGGCACAGGCTGTTGGACCTTCATTCCGCCAGGCGCTCTTTCCACGTCCTTCCTCGGGCCAACAAGGGGCAGGAATGGAAATAGTCGGGACACACAGGCAGCTGTTGATAACTGATGTTAAGAAACCTGCAACAGGCAGTGCGTGAACTCTGGCACGTACTTCTCGGCCTCATGTAAGTGGCCCATAATAATTACAGCTTCAGCAGACAACTCAAGAAACTGCATTAAGGTGATTTCTCTGGCTATAAAGAGAGCCCGGCCTGCAGAGCAGTGTGGCTGCTGCGACCTCTGGGATAGGCAACACTGCCCTCTCTGCCCCAGGGCTACTCACAGGGCAGGTCGGGGCCCAAGGAATGGCCCAGCAACCGCTCCTCACCCAGCACAGAGCACAGGGCAGGTCGGGGCCCAAGGAATGGCCCAGCAACTGCTCCTCACCCAGCACAGAGCACACTGTCTTTCCTGCCACCTGCAATTATGCTGTGAAGATGACGGGGTGTGGTCATCATGATTCAGAAGAATCAAGATCTATGACCATTTTAGGCAAAGAGAGAAACTTCGAGAATTGCTGAGGACTAGTGAATCTTGTTTTGCTGTTTTTAAAAAAATACTAAAACCCCACTTCAGCAATATTTAGTTGTCATTTAAATCAAGCTGGTATTATTAAGGGGTTGATGAACTGAGGTGTCACTCACAATTACTGCCTTCCAAGAATTCTTGGGGTGGATTTCAGTAATTCTTGTTTGCTTCTGGCTTAGAAATTGTCAGAATGATTTTTCTTTTATACTTTCCAATACTTGACTTAATATGCATTTAGTGACTATTCTGTTTTTTTCAATACACAGTTTACAAGATGACAGAAGTATCCCAGTTCTTAGGCTAGAACTGGATTTCTCCCTCTACAATTACACGATTACTCTCAAAAACCAAGAAAGTGTACTGCTCAACTCAGGCTCTGGCATGATTCTTAAAAAGAAAACTGACTCTAGACTACAGGGGCTTACAAAAAGGGGATTTTTTTACCACTGAGACATTTGTTATGTTAACTGTAGGGGAAACGTCTCACCAACAGTCAAAACCAATGAGTAGGATTTTTTTTTTTTAAGTTACATAGCATCTAAGTTTTCTGATCACTACCAGGTACTTTTCAACCAATAAGAAAAAGGAACCAACACTCAGCTCTGTAGAAATCTACCTTCTTTTAGAAACCTCAGGCCTCTGCACCTTTAGACAACTCATTTACGACGACAACCTTCCATGGCTTCTCACATGCCACCCAGGGCACGGTAAAAATGGCAATTTCTTACACCGAGAGGTCCTTTTTATGTAACAAACAGACATCCCCAAACCACAACTCTTTTGTCCTATTGATGACTGGCATGAGATCAAATCTCTAGCGTCCCCTAACTGCCCCGACAGGGTCTAGGATAACACAGGTTAAAAAGGACAGTCGGGTCGTTCAACTCCCACACTGCCTCAGGTGTTTTCTCAAAGCACGACAATTCTGCAATGGAGACTTACACGTGGAAAAGAATCAAACTATGCAGGTACCCTCAGTCCTCTGCCACTACCAGCTCAACAGCTTGAGCTCAGAGGATCAAGTCAAGTCTCTGTCTCACTTTTAATCTAGCGCACAACAGACACAACTCAGGCAGTACACGGTATCGAAGCATGCAACAGGTCATTGGTAACAAAACTCAGTTAGATTAAGTGTACATTAAATAAATCTTTGTAGTTGAGTAGAAATCACAAAACAGTTGGTGAGGACAGGTCTGTAGGCTCAGCTTTACATCCAGGTTTTTATACACCAGCAGCCAGATTCACAATGGATAGATATTGCACCGGAAAGATGTGTGCGGGGAAAAGAAATCATCATCACATTTAATGTTCATGATAAAAAAATAAAAACAAAACCAGACATGACCTCCATGTAGTACATAAAGTGCCTTCAGAATTGGTGCATTTACAACAAAAACTGGTTATTTAGCTACCATTAGCAAACGCATACAAACAGGAGACTAAACAGATCTGGTTTCCACAGTTTTGAATCAAGCAGTGCCAAGTTTCATTCAAAATGTCTCTACTACAAACAGCAAAGAGGAAATAGAATAAAAGATGACTGTACAGCGCCAGGAAGGGCTAAATAATTTCTCTGATGAGAAATGGGAGTCCAACCCTGTCTCAAATGTGTTACAGCACATGTAATTACTTCTAAGGAATAATGGTGTGATTCCTTTCAAGTCAACACAAAATTTGTCATGCTAT